AAAGCTATTGTCCCAGAATACGTGGTATGTTTTTTGAGGAGGAGGAAGACCTATCCACGGCACACATCAGGGAGAGGTGGCTAAAGGTCAGAGAGTTATTCTGCATAAGATCCATCTGATTTGGTACTTCATGAAATTTTTGGCACCCAACCAGGGATGTCTTTGAAAAGGTTCCCCACTGCTCACAGATTGACAGGAAACCACACAGGGGTAAAATGCACACATAACATACTGTACGTCTGACATCAGGGTCGTTCTCCATGTAGCACAATATTTTGTATTATTGTAGACTTACAAATTATTGAAGTCTGTGTGTTTGTGTGTGTGTACTTTTTCATTTTGGTGTTATGGAGAGCTTCGAGGGAAGGAGAGAGGGATTCAAAAGGGAATAGTTTTTACACATACATCTCCCTTTGCAAGAACATTGATCTCTAAATGGATCCTTTTGTCTTGAGTCTTTTGAATTATTGATCCACAGTGATGAAATCCTTAGCACAGATGTTCAATCTTGATGTCATTTAAGATGTTGTACAACAGCCTGAGGCTAATTTTCCTCTCTCCAGTAAAAATGGTTTGTAAGAGTTGATGGATCAACTCAGGCCCAAGATGATAAATATAGATTTCATTGATAAAGTGATCTACTCTAATATTAACTTCCAGGATTAGAAAATACAAAGTATAAAAAACATATGAGCATATAGTAAGTGCTCAACAAATGTTGGCTTTTATTATTATTAGGTGATCATGGAATTAACTTTCCCTAATTTGCCCTGAGTTATAAGCCACTGTTGATTCAGGGATAGTTTCTAAACAGACAAACTTCCTGCAACTTCAGGTATCAGGAGAGAGACCTTCCCATTAGTGCTGTCTTCTCCCAAGAGTGTTATCCAGACCACCATGTGGGATCTTTGGCAACATAGCAAGACCCTGTCTCTATTTTTTAAATAATTTTTTAAAAATAGAGACAGGGTCTTGCTATGTTGCCCAGGCTGGTCTTGAACTTCTGACCACAAGTGATCCTCCTGCCTCGGTCTCCCAAAGTGCTGAGATTACAGATATGAATCACCACAGTTGGCCTTAAATAATGCTCTTCAAAATAGTACGTATTGAAGTCTAAACAGAACGAATTACTAAAAGATTCGTGAGCTACTAAAAGATTTAGAACTACTAAAAGATTATTTTCTTTTTATGATAAAAGACAATGGTTTTAACATTATGCTGATATACAGTTTCCGTTTAAAACAAATCATTCAAGTGGAAGAAGCTGATTCAAAGAAAGCTGGTAAGTAATAATAGCACAAGTCGTACCAAGAAATGGTAGAAATTGTGATGGGCATGCAAATGACCAAGTCTGAGAACTACTAGGTCAGTGAATTGAATCCGTGTGCTCTCTGTTGTGCTACATCTGAAAACATTCATCAACACTTATTTCATGGAGTTTGGATCCGTTGTACAGTTATAAAACTTCTGTGCTGTTCAGGACCTTGAGATCATTATAGGACCATCCCTGTATTTTAGGCAAGTGGTTTCCATGATCTAGAGATGTTGTATCTCAAGTGCAATACACTGGGGAGGAGACATGACTTTAGCAGATTATAGAGAAAACAGTGTTGAAAAGAGGTAGTCCTTCTACCCCAGGAGAGACACATTGGAGGAGAGACGACAAGGAGAATGGAAACTATGTTCCACATTTTTCTGTACATTAAAAAAATTAAACATTTTAAAAAAGAGAATGGAAATTGTCTTCTGAAAGGATCTCAAGGGGCACATGTCTTAAAATATTTGAAGATCTTTTACTTGGAAGATGACGACATGTACTGTAATTGACTTCAAGGTGAATAAGAGGGAGGCTGAAATTATAGGAAGACAATTTTTAGCTAGGTGAGAGTAAACACCTTTAGTGAACTAAAGAAGGAATGAGCTGTCTTAAGAGATGATGAGCTCCCCAAGACTACAGGTATTTATTTAAGCAGAACCATGGTGACCTTAGATCTTAGGGAACCTGGGACCAAGTGCTGGAGGGGTGTGGAGGTGGCTGGCTAGGGTCCTTGCTGCCCCTTAAAGTCAAGGAGTTTAAGGCAGCCTTTTGGCCAGGTGCGGTGGCTCATGCCTGTAATCCCAGCACTTTGGGAGGCTGAGGTGGGCAGATCAAGAGGTCAGGAGTTCGAGACCAGCCTGACCAACATGGTGAAACTTAGTCTCTATTAAAAATACAAAATTAGCTGGGTGTGGTGGCATGCCCCTGTAATCCCAGCTACTCAGGAGATTGAAGCAGGAGAATCGCTTGAACCCGGGAGGTGGAGGTTGCAGTGGGCTGAGATCGTGCCACTGCACTTCAGTGACAGAGCGATACTCTCAAAAAAATAAAAGGCAGCCTTTCCTGCCTTTCAAGTGGCTCCTCAAAGGGAGCTATTACCTGCAGTTACTGTCTCAGTTTTATGTAAAAAGTATTTCTCATTTGGGAATTTCCCCTCCCCATGCAATACTTTTTACTCCTGAATACATGCAAAAGAGCTATAAGAAAGTTTCTGGTGCTAAATGAGAAAATGTGTGAACATAAATGAGCTAATTTAACTGTAAGTTCACCACAGTGTATTTTAAACACCAGGCAGTTACAAACTCAATAGTTTGAGATTTGTGTTTTAATCAGGGTTTGGCTAACAATATGACATAAACTATTAGAGAAGTGTAGATCATTCTGGCAAACAGAAAGTTCCATCATTTCACACATAGAAAACTGCCATTAAGAGCTTGGAGTATAAAATTCAGAATTTAGGTTAAACCAGGTGAAATGGTCATTTGCAGATGAAATCCTATACTGGCAATTTCTTATGGTTCAACCTAATAGTAAAACATTTATAAACAATTGTATCATTACAAATACATTTAACATTGTTTTCTACTAAACTCAGTATTTTCCTTTCCATCCTGATCAAAGAAACATTATTGCAGGAAGCCACAGTGTAATTCAGCATGATTTCTTCTAAAAAAGGCTCCGGGTTCCTTTGAGCTTGTTATTGCACAGTGGATTTTTCATTTGCAAAGATGTTAAGCCCTCCAAATGTGCAAATCATTAAGAAGTTGGTTGTTGTTCCAGCAAGGTTTGCCCAGCGGTAAAAAACAAGAGAAAACTCATGCACTAGCTGAAACCAGGTGGGGAGACCATGTGTGGCAGTGCTCGGGGGTGGAGGGAAACTATTTCTGAAATGAGGACTTAAAAGTTTAATCCTGGCTTCACTGCCTGTTCACATGAGAAACCGAAGCTTCCATTTAACTGCAGGCAATGGGAATTTCACACTGTCAGCACCAACTGTCTAAAATCCCAAACTAGTCTCTAAATGCGTAGGATCAAAACCAAAAATCTGGAGGGGTCTAGTTAAACTTCAATATGCATGACCCCAGATTCCCCTTTCAAATATAGTCCAAGTATTATGTTTTCCATAGGGCATTTACATTATCGTGTTAATGTGAATTATATATCTCTCCCCAAATCTCGACTTTATAGAATACATAATTATCACACCCTGTAGGAGAGCCATTTAAAAAGACAGACTTGTTTATAGACAGGACGTTACAGAATTCAAAATTCTTGTTAGAAAATTGGGGGACTATGGGGCTGAGTGCGGTGGCTCACACCTGTAATCCCAGCACGTTGGGAGGCTGAGGCAGGTGGATCACCTAAGGTCAGGAGTTCAAGACCAGCCTGACCAACATGGTGAAACTCTGTCTCTACTAAAAAATACAAAAATTAGGGCCAGGCGCGGTGGCTCAAGCCTGTAATCCCAGCACTTTGGGAGGCCGAGGCGGGTGGATCAAGAGATCGAGACCTTCCTGGTCAACATGGTGAAACCCCGTCTCTACTAAAAATACAAAAAATTAGCTGGGCATGGTGGTGTGTGCCTGTAATCCCAGCTACTCAGGAGGCTGAGGCAG